AGGCTTCCAGGCAGATACCGTGCATTGACCATGTCCCTACAAGGCCCACTGTTCCTCTGGTTACTTACCCATCTACTTATATACCCATGCAGACCATAATGTCCTCAGCTGGGTGCAGGAATATTGCAGAGGGGTGATGCATAAAACTTCACTGACTTCCAGGTTAAAAGAAAACCGCTGGTCTACCTGTGTCCAGAAATCCTGTCCTTTCATCTCAGAAAACAAAAAGGATGGCGAGAGACAAGCGACCCTGGGTAAATCCAGTCCCCTTCTCTTTCAGACACACAGAGATGGGATCTGAGTGAACACACCCTGGGGCACAGCCTTTCGCTCCTCTGCACCGCTTTTGCACATTTCTGAAAGATGCGTGCAACCCGCTGGTGCATTACCCCTCTTATCAGGGAGTCCCCACAGATTCCATGACCTTTCAAAGGCGATGGAGAGTGGCTTCACTGTGACATTGGCCTGCTCACTCAGCTCCTTGAGTGCTTCCCCTCCTCTTCCAGAGACTGGTAAGGATTGCATTTGCTCAAGTGATCCTGGGAAGGTTTGTGACCTCCTGCGGAACCTGAATGCACATAAGTCCACGGGCCCTGATGAGATGCATCCCAGAGTCCTGAGGGAATTGGCCGATGTAATTGCCAAGCCACTCTCCATGATATTTGAAAAGTCATGGCAGTCAGGTGAAGTCCCTGGTGACTGGAAAAAGGGAAACATTGTGCCCGTTTTCAAAAAGGGTAGAAAGGAAGACCCCAGGAACTACCGACCTCTCAGCCTCACCTCTGTGCCTGGGAAGATCATGGAACAGATCCTTCTGGAAGCTATGCTAAAGAACATGGAGTCCAGGGAGATAATTTGAGATAGCCAGCATGGCTTCACCAAGGGCAAGTCCTGCCTGATGAGCCTAGTGGCTTTCTATGATGGTGTGACAACAACAGTGGACAAGGGAAAAGCAATGGGCATAATCTCTCTGGACTTCTGCAAAGCCTTTGACACGGTCCCCCACAACATCCTTCTCTCTAAATTGGAGAGCTATGGATTTGATGGGTGGACTGTTTGGTGGATAAGGAACTGGCTGGATGGTCGCATCCAGAGGGTAGTGGTCAACGGCTCGATGCCCAAATGGATATCAGTGACAAGTGGTGTCCCTCAGGGGTCCATACTGGGACCGTGTTGTTTAACGTTTTCATCAATGACTTAGACAGCGAGATCGAGTGCACCCTCAGCAAGTTTGCAGATGACACCAAACTGAGTGGTGCGATTGACACACCAGAAGGATAGGATTTCATCCAGAGAGACCTGGACAGGCTGGAGAGGTGGGCCTGTGTGAACCTCATGA